CACCATTAGATCAGCCGCTCTCGAACATTTTGGTCTTAGGAATCCTTTACACTCCTAAAAATTATTAGAGACTCCCCCCAAACGCTTGCATTTATATAGGTTACATAAAGCAATATTTATCATGTCAGAAATTAAGACTGAGAAAAATAAAAACATTTTTAAATTTAAAAAATATAAATATAATACTTTTGGAATGAAGTCATATGTTAATGTAAGTAACATTATTTTTTATGAAAATAAAACCCAATAGTGCTTAGGGAGAGAAGTGTCATTGTTTTACATTTCTGCAAATCAGTATGATGTCTGGCTTAATGGAAGACAGCTGGACTCTTACATCTTCTACATTCAATCTTTTGGGACAGATAATACACATCATATAGCTGCTGGTGAACTCCACTATACTCATACACACATGAGAGCATGGAGTATAGACAGCAAATAACATTTTAGTATTGTTAGGAAAAGAATTTTGACCTTGTGAATCTCCTGAACATGTCTCCAGGACACCCAGGAGTCCCTAGACCACACTTTGGGAACTGTCACATTAGGTCATCACAAATGGTGTCCTGTCCAGGGGCTCTAAACCTAGCTCTCAGCTTGGTTCTCACTGTCCTAGTTCCCCTTGTAAACCAGCACCTCAAGCTTCCACTTTCCTCCCCAGCCTGACAGCTCACTTAAGGTCTGCTGGTTAAAGGGCAGCTCTATGTCTGGTCCCTTTTTGACCCCAACACCACAGAGTCATACCTGAGCTAATGCCTTTTCACTCAAGTCAACCATCTCATCACTCTCGCACACCTCAAGACTCAGAATGTCTCCCCCACCACCACTACCACCTGCCTTCTACTTCGTGCCCCACCATATGCGACTGGTCAGAAATCCTGTTGGTGTATCTTAGATCACCTCTCAGGTTCACCCTCTTCTCTCCTTGTCCCCCTTTCTTTTAGCCCTCATCCCACATGTCTGGATAAACCAGCAACTTATGGGACTGATTTTCCTGCCCCCAAACTCTCTGTGTGTGTTTGTGCTGCCTTGCAAACCACACCAGACTTACCCTACTAAAGATGAGCATGCCTTATAACCAGCTATAGACAGCTTAACCCACCAACCAACCTTCTAGCCATCTTTCATGACCCTCCATGTAGTGTATTGCATCATTTGACCCCACATCTTCACCCTGGACCCATGCCTGTTTCCACTGTGGGCAGGGGACCTGCCTCACCCATGGACTTTGCTCTGCCATGTGACTTGCTTTAGTACATGAGATGTTAAGAGACATGAGCCAAACAGAGGTTTGAAAAAGCACGTCTGCATTTCCAATTACTGTCTTGTGCCTCTGACTCCTCCACGAAGAAGGACATACTGAAGCTGGCCCTCAGAAGCCATGCTCTCCAGTAGAATATTTAGTGGTGATGGAAATGGTCTACAGCAGCATTGTGCCATACAGTAACCACTAGTCATAGGAAGGTTTTGAACATTTCAAATGTGGCTGGAGCAACTGAAAGGCTGAATCTTTGTTATTTGATTTTAATTTATCCAATTTTAATAGCCACATACGGCTAACGGCCACCGTATTAGACAAAATGGCTGTGGAGGATATGAGACCCATGGAGCAGAACCAAATCATCCCAAATGGCCCTGCTAAAGCCACCTGCTGATTCCACACACATGAGCAATAAGGCTTATTGTCATAGGACACTGAGGTTTTTGTGGTTGTTTGTTACACAGCAAAAGCTAACTGATACATTCAATCTCCTGATCCCACCTGCTTATCCAGACTGAAACCTCCTACTCCAAGGGAAACACTCTGCTCCAGTCCGATTATATTCCTCACTCTCCGAGCACATGCCAAGCTTGTCCCCATCCTCATGCATTTGCCCTGGAATTCCTCTCACCTGGAATAGCCTCTCCATTTCCCTTCCACCCACTGAACTTGGACATGTCTTAACCTCCTCTGTAAAGTCCTCCCTCACTACCCTAGCTCACAACAATCCCTGTGTCCATTTCCACATTTCCACTTGGGCTGGATGCTTGAAAGTATTAAGAGTCAGACACAGACTTGGGCTGGAATTCTAGTTTGGACGTTTAACTGGTGGTATGAGATTGGATTATGACTTCTTATTATAATTATTATTATTATTTCTTCATCTGAAAAAAGGAGGGAATTGTTCTGAGGATTAAATAATGTAAAAACTAGTAAGTTCCTGACACATGTAAATATATTCATCCAATAATAGTTTTCTTTCTTGGTGGGTTTTCCTTCCTTTTCCTAATCTAGTGTCTAGAACAGGACAGACCATCTGGCTCATGCTTACAGACCATCTGGTTCATGCTTACATGCCCTGTCAACTCATCTTCTCATTCAGGGCCACTGAACTTTTCTATCATTTCAAAGAGCATCTACACAGATACAAATAGTGATGGGTGCTGGCATGAGTCACCAGATACATGTCACCTCCTGGAATGCAGCTCCTAGTTGTCAGCCCTCTTTGAGGACTGCCTCCATGGAGGAAACTGCCTCACCCAGGGCCATACCTCCTTCTAAGGGAGCCCTTATCCAGTGCCTGATCACTGCAAGGGCCCAGAGGCCAGCCCTCCATGTAGACACGAGATAGCGCTGAAAGGCCATCTCACCTTCAGAGCAGCCAGGGAGCTAGCAGCCAGGGCCTGTTCTGCAGCTGGGCTTTCCCCCTGCTCAACCCTTCTGCAGTCCTCTCCCTTCCACAGGTATGGATCTGAGGAGCTCACCCTAATGAAACAACTTGCCTGCTAAGCTTCATCTCAGAGTCAGCTCTCTGGAAACCCAACCTGTAGCACAGATAGAAGATCCTTAGAGAGCTATGGCATTCTTTCGCATTGAAATACCGACTAAACCCAAACCCAGAAGGTATGACTCGACAGGAATCATGTTTTTTGCAATAGATTTTCCAGGTCTTTAGAATGTAATGCAGTTAGTCTGAAGCCATGAGTAAAGGAGGGCAGGAAGTCTCCTATTTAACACAGGGGTTCTTAACTTGGGGCCCAGGGAGCTCCACGGAGGTTCATGAGTAGAATTCACTATGTCTGTTAACTTAGATGGAAAAAAGGAGTTTGATTTTTTCCAGTAACCCCTAACTGATATTTAACATTTCCTTTTATGCATGTAGTATTTCCTTCCATACATGTAGGCAACAAGGCACAGCAGTACTAACACTGAATGACCTTGTCACTGGTAGAAGTCACAGATATTCTCATGTCACATGATGGTCACTGTAGGTATCTCTAAATGTTGTTTACAGACCTCATGAGCTGGAAAGTTCAGTAATTAGCTGACCCACCATTGAATCCATCGCTACATCTTGCTATTTAATGTGGTTAAAAATAAGCACATATAGGGCCGGCCGAGTGGCTCATTGGTTAAGCGTTGGCTTGGGAGCATGAGCTCTGAGCAGCAGGGCCACCGGTTGGGATCCCACATGGGCCAGTGATGCTGCGCCCTCTATAGCTAAATTGGTGAACAACAGCTCAACCTGGAGCTAGGCTGCCTTGAGTCTCCAGTGAAGGGTAGGCTGCAGTAGGGCTGCAATGGACTGTCTTGAGCTACTGTGAGTGGCCGTCAGCCAGTGTGAGTGGAGTCCAATGGCTGGAGACGGACTGCCTCAGCCAGGAAGAGCGCAATGATCACAATACCAGCAATGATCACAATACCAACATGGGCCAGTGAAGAACAAAAGGACAGCAGCTTGTCTGTTCCCCTTCCCCTTGAGTCCCCAGAGCTGTTCCCCTCCCCCAATTCCCTAAAAAAATTTTTTTTAAATAATAATAATAATCAGCACATATATACCCATAAGATTTTTGTTTCAATATTTTGATCTGCATTTCAACCTAATTGATTTCCTTGGCCATCCTGTGGATTTTGTTTTATTCATTAAAAAACATTCTAAGAAGCGTCTTATAGGCTTCACCAGATTGCCCAAGGAAGTCAGGGCAGTCCACCCACAAGGACGACAGTCCCTGCGGGTGGAGGTTTTCAGGACTCATTCTTTTTAGGCACAGCGACAAGCTTCACGTGGGTTTTGGCCCGAGGCGCAGTCTGCCCGGGCCAGACGACAAGCACAGCCATCCCCGGCGGGACGGCTCCAGCCGCTGTTGTGTAGTTCCCTGCACTCCTGGAACGCGCACAGCTTTATATGAAATCCACATGGTGCGCGGCTGGGGGAGGTAGCGCCCCTGAAGGCCTTGACCAACTTGACAGCGCCCCTGGCGCCCCACCAGTTCTGATCGGGTTCCAAAGAGCCAGAGCCCCGCTCCTCATTTGGAGCCCCCATGGTGACAATGCTCGTCTACAGGAAATTGGATCACCCGGGCGCCCTGCTCCCCCAGCCCTGAACTCTGGACTGCAACGAGCTCAAATAGAGAGCAGAATCAATGCCAAGATACATCCGGAGTTCACACACACACCAGTGCAGAGGCCTGTGGCTCTGTTCCCGGGGCGGAGAGTCGGGTTGGGCGGTCTTTTCCTGCCCGGGGCGCCTGCTGCGCCCCAGCTCTGGGCATTGCCCCGCGGAGTTTCCGCGCGCGCGCGCGCGCGCCTGGTCCCATTCGGCCGGGTCCTGTCTCCAAAGGCTCCGGACAATGGCGAGACCGATTTCCCGGCCGCGATGCCGCGCAAAGAGCCGGGGAGAACACTCTGCCGAGGATCCCGGGGTCGCAAGGTCTTGGGGTCCCAGGGCCTGCAGGGCGCGCTCAAAGCCGCGCAGATGCGGAGAGCTTCCCAGTCCCGCGAGCTCCTCGGAGACAGTGACCCGGAGGTGGGGCCGTCGGGGGCCGGGCAGTGGCGGGAGCGCACTGGGATTGGAGACCCTGCGCGAGCCCAGAGCCTGGCGGCCAGCGGGGGGGTCCCTGTCCCCGACGCCCACGTCTGCCCGGCTCCACCGGAGCCCGGGCCGCCGGCCTGCTTCCTCCCGACGCCGCTCTGGCCCCTGTCACCCGGTCAGCCCGCTCCCCTCCCCGGGCGCACTCACGTAGACGGAGCGAATGTCGGAGTTGTCGTAGAAGCGCAGCGCAGTGCTCAGCTCCAGGGCAGGGGAGACGCGGTCGTCGCCGGGCTCCAGCTCCAGGTCCTGGTGTCCGTGCCCGAAGGGGAAGAGCTCCTGGCGGCGCAGGCAGCCCCCAGGCCCCGCCAGCAACAGCAGCAGCAGCAGCGCCCTCGTCCACGCAGCCCCACTCCCGCGGACGGCGGCCCACATGGTCTCCAACTGCGGTACCGCTAGCCCTGCGGTTCCGCGCGGGAGGATGGAAGGCGGAGATGTAACCGGACGCCCCTCGGCAGCCCCTCCCCGGGGATGGGGGAGGAGAACCGTGGAGGTGGGGAGGGCCCGCCGTGCTGAGGGCGCGCCCAGGCCGCCCAATGGCCGCGCGGGAGAGAGGGCAACACCGCGCCCCGGCCGCTAGTCCCGGGGGTGGTGGGCGCTGGTGGCCGCGAGTCCCGAAACCAGCCTGGCTTCCAACGGACAGCCGCTCTGGGTGCAGGAGGTGGGAGCAGAGCGCCCGGCTCTGCGCGGGGTCTGCGTCAGGGCCGAGTGGTGGGAAAGCAGGCGGCGGGGAAGCGCCCTGGACGCAGATGTGTCCCTAAATGGTGGGCTATCGGCCCACCCAGAGGCTGCTGGCGGCGTCGGGAGGTCAGACCCACACGGTCCGACTCTGGTGGGAAGAGGGGTAGGTGCTGGGAAATGGCGAGAAGGGGCTGGGCCAGGAGCGTTCCTTTACTGCCCATCCATTCTTTCAGCTTTATTGAAGCCGGATCCTGGGCTCAGTGTAGAAGTTCCGCCAGAAATGGGGTCCCACCCTCCGATAACAGAGTCACGAGACTGTAACATAATTCAGTGTTAGTGGGGTGGGGTCCCCAAGTGTCAAAAGATATTCGGGCTGGAATAACTGGTCCAGGAGAGCTTCGCGTGGGATGTGGGAATGGGACCAGGTCTAACACAAGAGGCGGAATTTCATCAGGCGACTGGAGAAGGGACGTTCTGTAACGTGGAGGGCTGAGCTGTGGGTGGAGACAAGTACTATCCTCCAGTGGAGAATTTGGGAAAGGACTGTTCCGAGTAAAGCCTTTAATAAACCTAGGAATTTGAACTCGCTTTAACACTAAGAGAACTGTTGAGTTCTTGACAACAACAGGGCATAAGTGATGTAAATGGTATCCTAAAAAACCGGTTGGTCATTAATTTGTCATTGGGTTGTGAGTAGAGACAGGGAGGTCATCAGAGGACGCTGAGAAGAAAAAAAAAATAGGGTTGAGAAAGGAAAGGGTAGAAATTGAGAAGAAATTAATCTAAGAGGCATTACAATGAAAGAAGGAGTAAGACTTGAGTGTGAATTTAATATGGGGCATTAGAATTGGGCTTAAGGTTTTGGGCCTGGCGAATTTCAAAACCAGGGCTGCCTTTTGAAGTCAGGGGAGAGGACCTGGGACAGTAGAAGCTGGATGTGTGTTTAATGCTGTGTTAACCTGGCAAGGTCAACAGTCATCCACGTTTCTGTCACCAGCTAAAATTGAGGACCTGGGACCCACTTTGGAGTAATTCTCCCCCAAACAGCAAATTCTATGTATTTAAGGAGCACGAGTCCTGAACCAGTAGAAACATGAAGAACAAGCAAAAGAAGTATACCCTCTGAACATAAAGTCTTTAGTCTACTAATGGCATCTTTTAAACTCATTAGCCATCAGAGTGTTGAGCCCAAGAATGAAGGTACCTGCTAAGAAAGCCTCCTGGTAGCTAACTGGGCTCAAATTTATAAACAGAGCCTAGTAGCCATTGCTAAACGAGCTATGTTTCAGGGAGAAGCCTGCACTAAATTTCCTGCAGTCTGCACTGAACTGTCTGCCTGCTGCACTGAACTATGGACCTGCCTGCATTGTGTTCCTGCTTGCTGAGCCAACCTTTATAAAGGAGTTGTAGGAATCATATTTCAACCAATAAGACTGAGACTTTCCCAGTCCAATCAGAGCTACACAGCTATATCCTTCAGCATCTTCACTGAGTAGCCAGAGCAGCTCCATTCCAACCAAACAGGACAGTGCTTTTTGTCCATTCAAACTGTGAGGATTTGGAGTCCTCATTTGCATGAGGATGGACTAGGGTGGAGCAGAGCTGTCTAGCTGGAGAGGGGCTTGGATGGAGAGCCACCTCACAGCTCTGCTATACCAAAATTGACCTATAACCTTGTTGACCTGTTCCACTGCCATGTTGCATCACAACTGAGCTATTTGCACGGAGTAAAGTCTCCTTCACTGCACCCTAAATTAGAGATTCCTGTAGGGCTTGAATTGGCACCAATGACCATCTACATTAAGTGGCCTCTGTATTGCTACATTTTCTTCTCTTTTTGTTAAAGGGCGACTAGTACTGTCTGTAATCTGTTGCCAAACCCAGTGGCTTTTTCTTCAGCTCCCTCCTGGAATCACAGCACTGAGCCCCCTCCCAGAAGCACTTCCTGACTCTACCCCATGCCATCTGTAGCCTCAACTGCTGCGCCATCCATCTCTGGGCTTCTGGGCCCCAGCACTGCCCAGTCCAGCTGCCAGAAACTCCAAATGGAGACCCTTCTTCGTCCTCTGTGTTCACCTGTGCAGTGCATGGGCCCCATCACCCAGCATGCACCTCTGACACTCCTTCCTCAAACCCCCATCCCACCTCTGTCTCACATCAGAGCCAGCTGTCGCCTGTGCCTGGCGTGCTCTCACCCCTCTCACAAACTCTCACCCTTTGTGTGACTCAGACAGCTTCTGAAACTCCTATTGGTCCATGGAGTTTTACTCAGTAATACAGGAGCGAAAGTACTTCTCCAGTTGCCGGATCAGAGTACAGTCTGGCTGAGGCCTGGGCTCCGACCTTTACCAGACCTATAAACATGGGAGATTTCTAAGTCTAATATCCTCCCAGTTGGCATGGGATGTTCAAACCAACAATCAAAGGATTGTTATGAGAACCCATGAAAGGCTCCTAGCACAGAGCCAGGCACAGAGTAAGTACTCAGTGAATATTAAGCCATCATTATTATCTAAACATATAGTTTTTATGATTTTTATTATTTCAACTTTTACAAAGACTACCATGAGTCAGACACTGTACTAGGAGTTCATAATACTAAGACCACTAAGACTCAATCCCTCTTGTGAGCAGCTCACAGTCTATCCAGGAAGACAGACATAATAGTAACACAGTGGGATGTTAAACTAACTATGTTTTAGCACAGTTAATATGACTAATGATTGCATGAGCTGGTAGCCTCACAGTAGATGTGGGGGATTGAGATTTGCAGAAGTTAGATAGCGAGCCCAGTTTCCCATAGCTAGTGAAAGAGCCAGGATTTAAATCCCAATGTAGCTGAAATCAGAGTTTATATTCTTTCCACCACACTTTTCCTTATCAAAGGAGAGGTTTCTCCCTCAGTTTCCATCCACAAGATAGATTTGCTCCCTTGTTTATATGTAATGTTCATGCAATATTTACATATGCTTCTTTCGCTTATTTCATCAGTATCATCTTGCTTAAGTATGTCTAGTATATACTGTAAACTATCTGTCATTTCCTATTTATAGCCCTGCACTCACTGCACGTTGCCTGGTGCCTGGGGGACGTGACATCTGTGCTGTGTCTCCTACTAAGGACAATGTGGGCTGGGTGCCAGCCATTCCTTTAGGATTTATAGTTTCAAATACATTTAGTGTGTAATCATAATCTTCATCATAGAATACTTAATTTCATGGTGAGTTCTTGTCACTTTCTAAGTGTGTACGTAATAATTAGGTATTTTTTATAGCTGTCTCCTGTGTTTGTTCCCAGATATAATGTTATGTGCATTGGGGCAAGGATCATGTGGTTTATCTTTTCCAAAGTTCACAGAACCTAGCCCAATGCTGCATGCACATTAATACAAGTTAATAATTTGAGAATTCAGTAGCATTTTTAAGTATCATTTGACATTGGCTGTAGCATATGCACCCACAATTATAATAATACACCAGTTTTGTGTTGTGTTGTTAAGGTTTTAAACCCTGCATTTTTAAGACTTGTACTCTTTTGTTGTCTGCTGTCACCTGGGTGAGGCCGGAAGACAAAATTTAGGAAGCAAGCTAAATCTATGAGAAGCAAAGCGAACTGTTCTATTTGGTTTATTCAGACAAAAGTCCAGGCGACTGAGTGGAAAAATAGCTCAGTTGGCTAGTTCACTGGAGAAGGAGACATCTGTTCTAATCTCACTGTCCTGCAAAGTGTAGCCACTGACCACTTAGGCATGGAAGGCTCCTTTATTAACCAGATGTTGGGTAGAGCTAATTGTGTTAGTGTTTCATTTCCAGGGGATTCCCTAACTCATGAATAAGATGATCATATGAGGTCTTTTAAACATCATAAGCTCAATTCTTATGTCTAAGTGTGTGTTTGATTTGAAAGGTGCCGGAAGTTTTCAAGATGAAGTTTAATCCTGCCATTTGTATATCCTGTTTTCCTCCCGACCTTTTTCTGGGTCATCATGAGACCTCCAGCACAAGCTGCATGGGTTCCACTTGCCTTTTGTTGTTGTTTTAATATTTTATCTTGATTTATGTAATTTTCACTTACATAAAAGTTGCAAGAATAATGCGAAAACTTCTCACATACCTTTCATCCATATTTCCTCAAATGTTAACATTTTACTACATTTGTTTTATTTCTCTCTATCTCCTCCCCCTCTCTCTCTCTCTCTCTCTCTCTCTCTCTCTCTCTCTCTCTCTCTCTCTGTCTCTCTCCCCGCCTCCCTCTCTACACACACACACACACACACACACACACACACACACACACACACACACATTTTTATCTAGACCGGGGTCGGCAAACTGAGGCTCGTGAGCCACATGCAGCTGTTTGGGTACATTCCATCTCAAAAGTTTGCAGACCCCTGATTTAGACTACTTGAGGGTAAGTTGTGAACATAATGCCCCTTTACCTCTGAATATTTTACTATATATTTCCTAAAAACTCGAACATTTGCTTACATAATCACAATACAATTGCCAAAATATGGAAATTAACATTGATTATAGATATATAACATATATAATCTATTATCTATAATCTAATCTACAAATCTCATTCAGAGTTCATCAAATGTCCAAATAAAATCCTTTAATAGCAAAACAATGTCCCAAACTATAAATTGCTTTCAGATGTCTTGTCTTTTAGCCTTCTTTATTTTGAAAGAGTTCCTCCGTCATTCTTTATCTTTCATGGCCTTGACACCTTTTTAAGGGCACAGATCAGTTATTTTGCAGACTGTTTCTCAGCTTCAGTTTTCCTGATGTTTCCTTTATAATTAGGTCAGATTTTTGCATAAAGGTTGGCCAGAGTCCTGCAGAAGCAGTGTGGTACCCTTCTGATGCATCACACCAGGGGGCATATGCTGTCAGATGGTCCTGCTGCTGGTGGTGGTCACTTTGATCACTCAGTACATGCACATCTCCTGGATTTCTCCACTGGAAAGCCACTGTATTTTCCTTCGTAATTAAGAAGTATGTTGAAGGGAGTTAATTTGAGACTATAAATACCCTGTTCTTCATCTTTTACCCTCTAATTTTAACTCCATTAATGATTTTTGCCAGAATCAATTATTATTGTGATGGTTGCCACATGCCTTTTTCTTCCTTTGGTTATTTTTTTAAAACTTTTCAAAACTGTGGTAAAATACACATAATGTTATACTTATCATCATAACCATTTTTTTTAATTGGGGAATTGGGGAAGGGGAACAGCATTGGGGAATTGGGGAAGTGGAACAGCATTGGGGAATTGGGGAAGGGGAACAGCCAAGTTGTTGTCCTTCAGTGTTAGCTGTGGAGGGTGCAGCTAGCTCAGCTCCAAGTCCAGTCACCAACCAGCTTCCCATCGGCAGCTCGTGGCCGCTCAGCTCAAGGTGCCGTGTTCAGTCTTAGTCGAGGGTGAACGTAGTCCTCCATCCCATGCGGGAGTCTAACTGGCAACCTTGTTGTTAGGAGCACGTGTTCTCACCAGCTGAGTCATCCTGCCACCTGTTGACAGCTCAGC